GCTATGCCACCTGGGTGTCTCCCACCCCCAGGTCCCCGCGGTCGGAGCCCCCCCGTCCCTGGCTGAGCCCCGCTGTCCCTGCAGGTTCCTCATCGGGCGGGAGAAGCCGGGGGAGCAGAGCGAGGTGGCGCAGCTGATCCAGCAGACGCTGGAGCAGGAGCGGTGGCAGCGGGAGATGATCGAGCAGCGCTACACCCAGTACACCGAGGATGACGAGGAGGTGAGGGGGACAGCACCCACCCAGGAGGGGACAGACGTGGTCCCCCCACCCGATACGGGGCCGGTGACTCGGTTTCCCCAGGGGGGGTGGGGTGGGGGTGCCAGGCTGGGGGTCACCACGTGCCAACGCCGCTCCGTGCCCTCCGCAGACGGGTGAGTACGCCACGGATGAGGAGGAGGAGATGAGCCCCATGTTCCCCAGCGGCGAGATGGCCATCGAGGTGTTCGAGCTGGCCGAGAACGAGGACACGCTCTCCCCCGTGGAGATGGACCCCGAAAAGCTGGTGCACAAGTTCAAGGAGGTGAGGAGGGGACAGGGGGTGCCAGGGGAGTGTGCCCGCACATGGCAGCGTGTGCGCACGCCCGGGAGCGGTGCGGGGACGTGCCCGCCCCATGCGAACACCCAGCTCCTCTCGCAGCTCCAGATCAAGCATGCCGTCACCGAGGCCGAGATCCAGCAGCTGAAGAGGAAGGTGAGCGGGTGCCCCGGCTCCCTGCGGGCAGGAGGGACCCCCCTCCATCTCTCCAGGTCCCCCTGGATCTCCATCTCCCCCATTCCCTCCTAGCTCCCTACATCTCCCCCCCCCCAGACTCCTCACCATGCTGTGCCGTGCCGTGCCACGTCATGCCTGCTCCTTGGCTACGCCATGCCGTGCTATGTCACGCCATGTCATGCCATGCCGGGCTGTGCCGTGCCATGCCATGCTGTGCCATGCCGTGCCGTGCCGTGCCGTGCCCTGACCCCGTTGTCCCCCAGCTGCAGTGCCTGGAGCAGGAGAAGGCGCGCTGGCGGGCCGAGAAGGCCCAGCTGGAGCAGAGCGTGGAGGAGAACAAGGAGCGGATGGAGAAGCTGGAGGGGTACTGGATGGAGGCGCAGAACCTCTGCCAGGCCGTGGACGAGCACCTCAAGGAGACGCAGGCCCAGTACCAGACCCTGGAGCGCAAGTACAGCAAGGCCAAGAGGCTCATCAAGGAGTACCAGCAAAAGTGAGGGCAGCACCGGGCCCTGGGCACCGATCCTCTCCCGGGTGCGGAGCATCCCCCTGGGTGTGGACCCATCCCTGGGGCACCGACCCCTTCCCGGGCACCCCTTGTCCCTGGGCACAGACCATGCCATTGAGCATGAACCATCCCCTGGGCAGGGACCTTCCCCTTGACATGGAACCATCCCTGGGGCACCAACTCCTTCCTGGGCAGGGACCATCCCCTGGGCACGGACCATCCTCTGGGCAGGGACCATCCCCTGGGCACGGACCATCCCCTGGGCATGGACCATCCTCTGGGCAGGGACCATCCCCTGGGCACGGACCATCCCCTGGGCATGGACCATCCTCTGGGCAGGGACCATCCTCTGGGCAGGGACCATCCCCCTGGGCAGAAACCCACCCCTGGGGCACCAACTCCTTCTTGGGCACCCCTCATCCCCTGAGCAGGGACCATCCCCTGGGCAGGGACCATCCTCTGGGCATGGACCAT